GCAGCATGACTTTATATTCTATACTGGACATTATTTCTGTTAAGTGACAAGACTTTTGTCTAAGCAAAGTCAGACCTTACTGTCCTAATTAAATAATTAAAAATCAAGGCATGATCATATTTTATTTTGGTGAAATGTGTAATTTAGAGGACTTTGCCTTTCATATAATCCATTTCTGATACCAAATAATCAACTAGAAGTCAGGTTATTATTTGTTGTTCCTGAAACTTGGATAGGCGACAAGACTTTTTGTCAGGTAGTGTATATGCACAAATATAATATTGTATAACATCTTATAAAGCATATGAATTTCAATGATAGATTTATGAGTGTTGTACTCGTATATGCTGAGTACTGTTATTTATTAACCATTGTATTAATTATTTTAAAATATTATGAATGAAACGCTGCATTTGGAATATTTAACATATAGTTTAAAAAACAAAGCACACGTATGTTTAGAAATCTGGAATATCTTTTGGACTCTTTATGAACCCTTTGTCTCGTCCTTACAAAATAACCATTCTCACACTGACCACTCATATGCTGTTATTTGATTCCTGTTTTACTGAATTTGATGATGTTTTTATATTTGTATTCTCTGATGCTTTTTTGTTGCTAAATGTTCCTTCTGTTAATTGTGCTGATAGTTATATTGTAAAACGATAAATAAATAATTAAATAATAATAATACATTATATTAAACATTTGTTGTAAAAATGGGATTTGTACAATAAGTACAAAATTTTACAATTTTAGTCTCAACAAGGCTGTCTTTTATTATTTAAATAATGGAGCAAAAAATTATTTAACATTTATTACATTTTACAAATATAAACAACAGCCATCAAGAACAGAGAAGAAAAGAAAAAAGGGAAAAAAATAGGGAATAAAAACAAACTGTACAAATACGAACTAAGATATACATGAAAACACTGTGAGTGGGGAAAACATTCAATTAAATAAATCAACAAAACACTTAAAAACCTACATTTTTACAACCACATTAAAATTCAAGGAAATAAAGGGTTACAAACTGTTATGCATTATTATTATCAGGGGTAGGCAGGGGGGATCAGTCTAGATCAGTCCAGCTAGAGAGTTATTGCAACATTTTTGAAGTCTTTCCCATTATTTTCATTAATTAACTTATTATTATTATTATTATTATTATTTATACTAATTGGAGGGGAATGTAATGTTAAAACCCAAAGAGAAACCAACTTGTTCAATGAAAATTTGGAGTCAATGTTACAATTAAGTACGATGACAGATAGTGTACTAAAGAGGTCATGGATAATAGCAATAATAATAATAACATTTATTTTTTCCAAGATTTTTACGTTTCTAAAAATGGCAGTTAATATAATGTCAGTATAGTCAATCTGGAAAACTCACTGTAACTCTGACAGACTGTAATTGTGAAATGTGCCGCATCAATAGACCTTTATCGATGATTAAGTTTTTATCAGCTCTTTCTTTGGACAATGACCCAATCCAATCCTCCTGTTCAGTCTGAACAAACTCTGACCTCGGATCAGAGACGTGTCCACCCTTTTATTGCTTTCCTTCAGTTAAAAGTGACCCTAAAGGCCCTAGTGTCATCGTAAAAAGGCCCTTAAAGTGGTTTCAGCTCTTAGAGTCATTGATACTGGTCAAACTGGTTGACCGTGACGAGCAGAAGTACAGCTTACCTCATAAAAATGACGTCCTTTGTATTAAAAGATCGGGTTACTGTAAAATCCCTTTATCGTTTTTAAAGAATCATCCACAATAGGACTGTGTGATATGGGCTAAAGAAACCTATCGTAATTTTTTGGAACAATACTGCGATTTTGGATTTAATCGTGATTTTAACACACACAAACGTTTTACAGTGTAAATCTGAAACATTTCAAAAGCAAAACAATCAGAGTAAAGGGTAACAAACAAAACAATTTTAATATCTCGTGGGCCAGTCTGTACACCCATCTGTGAACTAAACTGGACTGACACAGTTTACATTTACTAGAACTTCTATGTTAAGCTGCTTTGACACAATCTACATTGTAAAAGCGCTATAGAAATGAAGATGAATTGAATTGAATAGATATTTTCAGGAGACTTAACTGGTTCCTCCATAAATAAAACATGTATCAGAGCTGCAGCAATGATTTGTTAGTTTGTAATGCCCTGAGAAAACGGTTGATGGTCGTCTAATAATGACAAATAAGCGCGAGTGCAAAGCGCATTGAAAAAAATGCTAAAGAAATCAACACGCTCGCGCAGGCCCGGATTGGCTAATCGGGAGAACCGGGAGAATTCCCGGTGGGCCGGTCCGTTTTTTGGCCGCGAGGGCCGGTGTCCCTAGCTCCAGAATCTGCTGCTCTCAGCAGTCACACTTTTTAAATTTATTTATTTACTTGACCACAGCCTTTTTATTCATTATTTTATCGCAACTCTTCTTTTTTTATCTATTTTAATGATGATAAAACTTAGTTGTGTCTCTTTACTCCATACAGCTGTTGTGGTCCAGCGGTTAGCACGTTAAGTTAAGACTCTGTGGGCCCCGGTTCGATCCTCGTTAAAGTAATGTAATGTTTTCATTTTTATTGTTAAGACATATAATACTGTTAGGGTTGTTGGACATTTGAAGTTCTAAAGCAGCTGTTTTCTCAAAAAAAAGATGTGATAGTGTCATTAGAAACTGAATTGGAAATGACCTTATTTTAATATAGTCAGTCGTGAACTGAGGTGGGCCGGTCTGAGGCTTGAAACTCCAGGGCTGAAAAGGAGTCCCACTCCTGCCCTGCGCTCGCGCTTACCACTCACTTTTAGTCATGATATGTGACTGACAGGTCTTACAAATTACCTGGTTCTATGATACATCAAAAGGAATCCCACACCACAGATGTTGACTTTTTTTTGGCCAAGTCCTCCTGTGCTGAACTCATCATCCCCGTTCATGCAGGCTATTTGTCATTAAGCTCCTGTTCTCGTGCACTGTTTAGGTGTGCTGCTTTATGGTTGGTTTAAATAGCATACTTTGGGAGAAGTGTTAGTCGGGACTGGAGCATACCAAAAATTTGTTGATTTCGATTCGATTTCAATTTTTGCTGCTTGTTTAAACTACTTCTTTAAAATGAGCTGAATCAACACAATTCTTGAGGGTTTTGGGACAAGTTAATTGTTTTAAGTTCCATCCACGTACATTCGGAAAAAAAAAAGCAATTAAGTTAACGTGGGGCAACATGAAGAAATTGTGTGAAACCCAGCATTTTTCACATTGTTTATTGTATTTTCATTATTTTATTTTCAATAAGTGTCATTATTTAGTAAGTATTTTTCTTGTTTTTAAAATTTTCTTTCTTTTTTTCTTCCTCCCATGTATTCCATTGCTTTTTTAAAAACGACACCGTGTGACCTTCAGTGTGCGGAGCCGCAGTCACATGCTCAATGCCGCTCATTTTCTTATATTTGAATAGTGACCTACACTAGTGCTGAATAATGTTATTTCTCATCTCGAACACCTTTTCCACCTCGCTCACTGTATGCGTATAAAGTAAAGGAAGCTTTCAGTCTTTGTGTTCCTGACAAAAAAGCTAGTTCAAAGACTCTTTAAATATTAGCTCTGGTCTTTCAGTCTGTTTACATCTCTATTAAAACACGGATCTGACCTTTAAAGAGAGCTGGATAGGGTGTATTTGTGTTAGTACTGTATTGTATATGTTGAATTACACACCTATTTAGGACTTTGCGAGGGTTATTGATTAAACTAAAACAAACAAGTTCCTAATGGGGTAAATGATAGTATTTAGGTTGATTTTATATCTTATATTTTGACTTGAATAAAACTATTGAACTTCTAATACTGGAAAAATGTTATCAAATTACATCAGTAGTGAGCAAAGAAAAACACTAGGTTCAAGTAAAGTACTTATGAATTGACATTAGCTGTGTGATTGATTGTGTATTTGTAATATTTGTTGAGTTCTGCTGTCGTTTCAGTCAATTTGAACACTAAAAAAATATGCGTTAATCAAACAGTTTCCAAATTTTGTTCTATTTTCCCATTGAATTATGGTTATGAATTGCATTATGGGACATTGGTTTCTTCTCTCTCAACTTTTGGTGTTGAAAATTACACTCTTCAACTTTGCAGTTAAATAAAATATTGTATATTAATAAATAATGTATTTACTAATAAGTCTTTACAAATAACAGACAATACATCAGGCAATATATCATACAGTTATACAGTGGGTGAAATAAGTATTAAACACGTTACCATTTTTCTCAGAAAACATATTTCTGAAGGTGCCGTTGACTTGAAATTTTCCCCAGATGTTGATAAACAACCATAGAAATACATATATAAAAAGACAAATAAAAATGAAATGAAAATATGAATAAAGGAAGGTGTAGAAAGGCAGTAAATGCCCAGACAGCAGCTGAAATCTCTCAGAAGTTATTCAGCAACCCTCTGCCCTTCATCAGTGTAAATTAATATTAGCTTCAGTCCAACATCTACATTATCAGGATGATGAAGATGAAACCAGAACGGATATTTCAGCAAAGGAATGATCCAAAACACAGGAAAAGAAACTTTAGAATGGTTTTAGAGAAAGAAAATAAAGCTCTAGAATTTTCCCAGCCAATCATCTGACTCGAATCCGTTGGAAAATACTAAATAAAGGTCCGTTTGGATAGGCGAAACCTACAGAACCCTCAAGATTTTTACACTCTGTAAAAAATCACACCAGAGCAATTCACGTGACTTCATTCTCCATATGAGCGTCATCTCTAAGCTGCCATCAATTTTTAATTTAGCCGAACAACTAGTTCTTGATAGAGTACTTTATCATACAGAATCATTCAAGCAGTTGTGTTTATTGTATGTTAGTGAATTCAGCTGTGACCATAACATGTTTGCTTGTTTTTAAGAAATGTATTAGTGTCTGTTTTGATTGCAAAAACTAGAGAGAAGTCCTTTACTAAAAACATGTTTGCTTGTTTTTTAGGTTTCATATCCATCCAAGAAAATGGGTTGCTTTGGATTTTTGAAAACCATGATGTTTCTCTTCAATGGCATCATCTTTGTAAGTATAGATCATGTTTGCACAGTGGAGATTATCAAAATTAGAGAACAGTTCATGAACGCTTGATGTTTTCATTGTTTCGGTGTTTTCAGCTTCTGGGAATTGCTTTACCTGTTTCAGTGTGTGACGGTAAACAAGTTCCTGCATGACAGATAAGTTGCTCTGGAAAAAATTATAAAAATAGTGTAGCCTTTTGATTCTTTCTGCTGATTTCAGTCCACATTCTCTTAAATGTGGAGACATTTTTATAATCTCTTAGATTGCACATTTATGGTAAAGTAATCTGACTACTTTTGGATTACATTTAGATTACTTTTGTGCTAACCCTTATTTTATATCACATACAGTTGAAGTCAGAATTATTAGTCCCCTTTGACTTTTTTCCCCCATTTTTTAAATATTTCCCAAATGATGTTTAACAGAGCAAGGAAATTTTCACAGTATGTCTGATAATATTTTTTCTTTTGGAGAAAGTCTTATTTGTTTTATTTCGGCAATAATAAAAGCAGTTTTTTATTTTTTAAAAACTACTTTTGGGAAAAATTATTAGCCCCTTTAAGCTAATTTTCTTTCGATAGTCTACAGAACAAACCATCGTTATACAACAACTTGCCTAATTGCCCTAACCTAAACCTAATTAACCTAGTTAAACCTTTAAATGTTACTTTAAGCTGTATAGAAGTGTCTTGAAAAATATCTAGTCTAATATTATTTACTGTCATCATGGCAAAGATAAAATAAATCAGTTATTAGAAATGAGTTATTAAAACTATTATGTTTAGAAATGTGTTGAAAAAATGGTCTCTCCATTGAACAGAAACTGGGGGAAAAAATAAACAGGGTGGCTAAAAACTCAGGAGGGCTAATAACTCTGACTTCAACTGTATATATTTAAGTAGGATAATCTTGTATTTTCATTTTGACAGATTAAAAAGACAAATATATGAATCCGTATCAGCAAAAAGAGCCTCAGATGTTTCTTTTTAAAGTGCAGTATACTGCATGGACAAGTAAATGTTAAAACACTCATAAACTTAGTTAGTGTTTGCTAATAGTAAACCTGATTGAAACAAAATCAATTTTATAATTATAAAATAATTTTCAAGAATTTTATGTAATCTTTATGTAATCGTGTAATCAAGAAAACATGACTATAGTCTGATTATGAATATTTTACTCTAATTACAAGTATTTGATTTTTGGAATCTGATTACATACCTCAGATTACATCTGTTACTCTTTAGCTTTGACTATTATTACCTGTGTTAATTAATCAAACTCAGTCTGGAGGTTATGGAAGTCAGAAGATTAGACATTATTCCAGTAAAGTCGAGAAAGTCCAGAGCAAACCCAGAGCAATCTACAGTCTCTCCCCAGGACAATCTGATGTACCTCAAATTTGCTGTACTCTTTATCCTTGCCTCATCCCACTTTTGTATTTTCACAGCTGGTTCCTGATTCAACAGCCCTCTCCCAGCTCCTACTCCTTTTCCTACCCCAATTTAAAGCCCCATTTTCTCTTTGGCACTTATAATGTACAGATCTAATGCATTCATAACTATATTTATGCATTAGGATATTATACATTAACATGATATGACTCCCATACAGTGTTTTTAAACACACATGACAGTTTTAACATGTTTTATACTTTTCATGTTTTCCTGGATGTATTTACACATGGTTCTCATTACACTTAATTGTGTCCCCAAGTCATCTCTCGTGCTCTTTTATAACCCCTTGCCTTAACATATCACAAGTTTTCAAAGACATATAATTTCTGATTCATATGGCCCTCCATTTTTTTATTAAATGTGTCTTTACCTAGTTTTAGAAAATAAAAGTTTTCTTTACCAGCCTGCCTGGGAACTTGAACGAGGTTGTGACTTTCTAAAGATGCGCGATAATCTAGAAATCATAGATATTAATGGCCAACTTCTCTTGCTATGGCTGAAAGGTTCGATCTTTGGACTTCCTGCTGTTTCAGTCATTCCAGAACGACGGCTCACCTTCCTGAAGAGTCAGTACAAACTGGAAAGTTTATTAGAATTCGTCAGATAATTAATAAATTCACCACCAGTTACTTTAGTTTTATTAAGACTAAGCTGTGAACTCGACATTTAGGAAGATCTAGGTTATTCTCTATATTTGATCTCTACTGTTTGACAAAAAAAACTGAAATTGTATGTGTGAGTTGCATTCAAAGTGAACAGATGGAAACTTAGAAGTTGTTGGTACAGTAGGTTCCAGTAGGTTAATAAAAAAGTAACTTCTTTAATTTCGTTAGACTTTGTTTGTGTTTACATTTGGAGTCAATTATAGTTTCAATCCAAATGATTTCCAGTCATATTCACTGTGGAAACACTGAAAACTGTGTTTTTTCTTAGTGAAGTGACTACAGAATATGTTGATGTTGAATACCAAGTGCAATAAGTGCTGTCTTTTTTTCAAGTAGATGTCCAAACAAACAAACAAGCAAATGACTCCATTTTCATGTGTTTTATCTGGGTCGCATGCAAATACTATGATGTAAATTCTTTCTACTTATTGCATTTCATTCACTTTGTGCCCACAAAAGAACTTGTCAAGAAAAATCCCCAACAGATGCATATGAATTTGTTTTCAACCTCGTTCTAGTGTTGTGCGATTTTGATAAAAGTTGTAGCATGCACCAAACTGGACATTTGCATAAAACAAGACCAAAACATCTCCATAAAAGGGCAATCCACAACAGCCTTCTGTCCCTCTGGTTAAGCAAACTATGGCTCTCTATTAGATGTACAACAGAATGTGGATTAAACACAATAAACAGCTCTTATACATAGCCAGATTACATAGATTTTTTTTTAGATCTCATTAGCCAATCTGTGATTTGATTCAGCTACAAATTTGATTCAGCTTTGACTTGCCTATTTAAGCCTTTCAATTGGAATTTAATCTGAATATGAGTATCTTGCAAAATAACTAGTAAAATATGTACTGTCATCATGGCAAAGACAAAAGAAATTAGACAATAGTTAATAACTATTATCCCGGACGAGCCCCCAATTATGTTACAGCCATAGTACAAGTCAGGGAAAAACCAAATGGATTGGTCTAGGGGATTAAATAAGGTAAACAAACAAAATAATAACAAAGTATGGGGCGGAATCACAACAAAACAAAGGCTAAACACTAAAGGAGCACGACTTCACGTCTGGACGGCCACTCAAGTCCTCGCCCCCGAAGCGCTGCAACGTGGGCTCATATAACGCCAGCGATCAATGATCCGCAGTTGAAAAGGAATCTACTTCAGTGGTTCCCAAAGTGGGGGTCGCGACCCAATTTTAGTCCCTGTTTACAGTAACACGTTTTTATTTTAAAACAATGTTTTAGAACGAAAACAATCAGCATTTCTGAACACCTGCTTCAGCGCATTTTAAAATCTGCTTCAGCGTATTCTCGCGTCTGAGAACAGTCAGCAGGAGCTCTAAGCATCTAAGCACACCTGTCCTGCTAAGAGTAGCCGTACTTCGGCCAGGATATTCCGAATCTTCGGGTGGATCTCATCTCTCTGTAGTTGTTAATAGTGATCTATAATTCATCATGTGTAGACCTATATCTAACCACTCTGTCTTTTGAATCTATTAGCCTACTTTTTCTCAGGTAACGTGATTTGTCTGAGCGCAAAGATAAATACCTATAAGTTTATGTAACCGCATACACTGATTCCGCATGCTTGATAATGCTTGCCTTTATTTTTTGTATTGTATAAACTTATTGTACTTCATAGTTATTATTGATTATTAAAACTATAGCTTATATATTATTATCTTCAGCAAAAGAGACGGCAATTTTGTATTTCACCATGCATTTCCTCTGATAATCTTTATTGTTTCCATGTAGCCTGACATATTGCCAAAACCCCACAGTGGGCCTAATGTTTCATATTTTTCTATAAAGATGAAAGGAGGCAGTTATTAGGCTCCGGTTTGTTATAAATTGGCATACTGTGGAGATGACGGTCATATAAATATGTACATAATGCCTTAATAAGTTGTTAATATAAAAATTAAAAGAGACAATGTCATATTTTCATTTTATTGCTAAGATAAAGATAGCCAACAGAAATGATGTTATAAAAGTACTCCCATTAAATTTGAAGATTTACTCAACCTGCGAAGTCTGAACTTACAAGAAAAGGATGCAAGACTGAACTTTATGTACTTTATAATGAGAAAAGGCCCCAATCAGGTAGGATAATGTCTGCAGCCATGCCTCTGTTTTCTGATGTCTCCGTTTCCTCAAATCCACACTGACACGGAGCAGTAGCATTTTAAAACCGAAACAGCCTCTTCAGCATTTCCAGGGGCTCGAAAACTCCAGGGTAGTGTGGACGGATGGTGTAACCAGAGAAAAAGTTATGGGTTTTAAAACTAAAAACTATTATAATTGCCATATTTTATTCAAAACCTATAGAAGATAAAAATAGTAGTTAATAGTTACATAAAAAAACAACATGAAAATATTTGTGTATATATATATATATATATAACCACCTCTGAGGAATGTTGGGGTCACGAGTCACTGGCATTGTTATTTTGGGGGTCGTGAGCTGAAAAGTTTGGGAACCCCTGATCTACTTGATCAAAACAAAAACAGGTACAAAAGTCAAGAGGGTGACAAAATAGCAAAAATAAATAAATGAATAAATAAATACATGGACGTGGAACAAACTACCGCTTAAAAAAATACTCGTTGAATTTACTACATTTTTTTTAAGGTAAGTGGTTGCAAACTATTTTATAAGCTGAAATTAAACAAACAAATTAAATGTAGTAATGTTCAACTTCATTTTTTTGTTTAAATTCAGCCCATATAAATTGTTTGCAACCAGTTACCTTTAAAAAAATTAATAAATCCAATAAATATTTTCAGAGTATTGTTTAAAAATGTGTTATAAAAATCTCTCCGTTAAACAGAACTTTGAAAAAGAATTAAGTAATAAGTATAAATAAATATATTTACTAATTAAGTACACTTACAGCATATATAATGTGATAAAATGTGCGTTTTATGAAGTATACAGTAAGGGATGCATGTATCAGTTTTGCATTTGCTTACCTAGATCTAACAAAAGGCCATTTAATACTATTAAGTAGTTTACTTATTCAGTTGCATAAAGAACACCCGTGTGCGGAATAGACTTATAAATTATAATGAATGTGTCTATTTTTAGACACAAGCCTACTTAAAAAATACAAAAATCATCAACTTTTTTATCTATGTTGAACCTAAAACCTCTTAATTTCAAACGTTTTGATCAATGCAACAGGTTTTTAAAATTCAATGCAAATGTTTGGAGTACATAAACAGATCTGCGATTAGTTTCAATTCATTCACATTAACAATAAATGATGCCTGTAAACATAGTCAATGAAATTAAACTATTCTAGACGCTGTATTTCACACCACGATTTCCTGAAAGACTGGCTTTAGAGTGTGATCTGACTCAACAGTGGTCACAAATGCAAATAAGTAGTAACCTGGAAACATTATTGCATACATCACAGCTTCAGGTGGCTCAGTGGTTAGCACTGTCGCATCACAGCAAGAAGGTCGCTGGTTCAATTCCTGGCTAGGCTAGTTGGCATTCCTGTGTGGAGTTTGCATGTTCTCCCCATGTTGGCATGGGTTTCCTCCGGGTGATCCGGTTTCCCCCACAGTCCAAAAACATGCACTATAGGTGAATTGAATAAACTACATTTTGCGTAGTGCATGAGTGTGAATGTGAGAGTTTATAGATGTTTCCCAGTACTGGGAATGCTGAAGTAGTTGATGGTTCATTCTGCTGTGGATAAATGAATGAATGAATCATAGTTTTAAAAACTAACGTGTCTCTTTTTTGTGTTTGTTTGTTTTTGTGCAGCTGGCAGGAGGGGTTATTCTGGGTGTGGGCATCTGGGTGAAGGTGGACAACGGCTCCATACTGAATTTTATGCAGAGTTTACCAGGCGCTTCGAGTCAGATGGGACAGGTGCTGAATGTGGGATACCTGCTGATCGCTTTGGGAGCTGTGCTAGTCGTCCTGGGCTTCCTGGGCTGCTGCGGAGCCGTCAAAGAGAGCAGGTGTATGCTGATGCTGGTACGTCAGAAGACACCCATAACACACATTAATACACTATTAGTAACAATAGTAAAACCTTTCAGCTGTAGTACATGTATAATGTTTGTAATGTGATATTTTTAAATTAGAGCTGTCAATATAACACATTTAATTACTTTGTTATGGGAATTTATTTTGCTTAGTTTATTGAACTTTTACAGTAACAACAAATTAAAGAAGTGTAGAGTTGTGAAACATTATATATACAGTTGAAGTCAGAATTATTAGCCCCCCTGAATTATTAGCTCCCCTGTTCATTTTTTCCCCCAATTTCTGTTTAATGGAGGGAAGATTGTTTCAGCACATTTCTAAGCATAATAGTTTTAAAAACTCATTTCTAATAACTGATTTATTTTATCTTTGCCATAATGACAGTAAATAATATTTTACTTGACATTTTTTAAGACACTTCTATACAGCTTAAAGTGACATTTAAAGGTTTAACTAGGTTAATAAGGTAAACTAGGCAGGTTAGGGTAATTAGGCAAGTTATTCTTTAACGATGGTTTGTTCTGTAGACTATCGGAAAAAAAATTAGCTTAAAGGGGCTAATAATTTTGTCCCAAAAAAAAAAAAAAATCCAAACTGCTTTTATTCTAACTGAAATAAAACAAATAAGAAGAAAAAATATTATCAGACATACTGTGAAAATTTCCTTGCTCTGTCAAACATCATTTGGGAAATATTTAAAAAAAGAACAAAAAATCAAAAGGGGGCTAATAATTCTGACTTCAACTGTATATATATATATATATATATATATATATATATATATATATATATATATATATATATATATATATATATATATATATATATATATATATATATATATATATATATATAATGGGGACAGAATATACTATATACATTTCCTGTGCCTGAATGCTTTATTCTGGCTTGAAACTCGTAAACAAAGGACTTTTTTTTTGGGTCACTTTATGGTTAAACTTTGCAATTACTCCACAATCGTGTGTGTTTTTAACTCCTATTCAACTATAATTCTAATTCTACATTGGAGATCATGCAGATGTGCACATTGCGTTATCGATACTGAAACAATATATAATGCAGTCCTAATTAATTGTGTAAAACATTTCAATTAATTGACAGTCCTAGTTAAATTATTGGTTATTGTTACGATTTTAAAGATGGTAAGTCAAGGGTAAGGGGAGTACCATTAATTTTAGGTGAAACGCATGAGCAAACACACAAAATCAACAAGTGAGGGACAAAATACCAAGACTACCTAAATGCAATAAAGTGAGTTTATTTACAAAGATAGTGATAATAATAAATGCAAAAATATGTGTATAGAAAGAACATTAAATATTTACAAAGATACATTGAAATTTAAAGACAAATGGGACATAAGACATTTGACTAGATAGATGGGAGAGTTGGAGAAATGAGATCCGGGCGGCGTCCAAACAAAATAAATAAATAAATCAAAATCTATTGGCCCAACCTCTACCCTAACTATCCAAAAGAAAAATACCGAAGTTATTGAAAATAAATATTCGCGTCTATTACGCACTACCTAACCTACTCTAATATATGATGAGAAAACAAAAGTACAGTGGGTGGAGCACGCCCCTTACCTAATGTGTCTAACAACAGAGATATTCAAACTACGTGTGCACAATGTATGTCACGCGACATTCTTACCTGTCCCACTCTTCAACCTCAGATGCGCATGACACTGACGGTAGACAAATGGAGAACAGACAAATAACAACGGACAGATACCTAATTGTAACACAGCACAATACAGAAATTCAGGGCCTCCTGAGTAGCGTCCTGTCACCACTTTTATGCCACGGTGTCAGCAGCTGGATTAGAGACCTTGGGTGACGTCAGGGGGGGGCACGGCAAACAGCTGGGCAGCGGTAGCCAATCGGAGCCACTGTATGGGTGGAAGCAGGAGAGAGGTAGAGAGCGAGCGAGCACAGGGGGAGAGAGAGAGACTAGCGAAAAAAAAATAATAGTAATCATGCAACACAGGAATGTAACAGTTATGCAAATATGGTTATGTAAAATTGTATAATATTTGTTGATGAATGGAAATGTTTTTTTTTTTATACTCTCCTCAGTTCTTCATTATTATTCTGATCATCTTCATTGCTGAAGTTGCCGGGGCGATTGTGATTCTGGCGTTTAGGCCGCTGGTGAGTTTTTGCATGTGATATTTTCCACTCTTTATGCATACTGATGGAAATAGCCATGGCTCTTCTTTTGTGTATTTCAGGCAGAAACGCTGATTAAACAGTTGGGAGTTGATGCTGTGAAAAGCCTCCAAAGTGACTTTGGGAAAAACCAAGACGTCACCGGATTGTGGAACACAACAATGACTGGGGTCAGTAAAACTTTGGTTAATAAAAAAAAAAAAAACAAGAAATACATCTTCACATTACTATAGAATCATATTTTTTGTATGTAATGCATCATTTGTTACATCGTGTAAGCTAATAATCTCCAGTGTATAAGCAATTGGTTGTTTTTGTTGTCCATTTTCCTCTTAATTCTGAGTCTTGCTCTGACCTTTTTTTTTTTTTTACTTTTGAAATTTTTTACACCTGACTGACTTCTGACTTTTTTTACACCTTGCAATTTTGTCTTTTTTTTTTAATAAGTTCTCATCTCATGGTTCTGACTTCAGGAATTCTGAGTTGCATCTTATTTCTGACTTTTTTAGAATTAGTTTTCATCTCAGTTCTGACTTTTTTTTAAATTCTAAGGTCACATCTTACAATTCTTTTTTAAAAGTCAGAGTTACAGTTCTTTTACAGTTCTGCTTTTTTAAGATTTAGAATTACTCTGCGTTCACACCGAAGGTGGTGAGAGCGTCAAAGGTCGCTCTGGCCGCCCTGGCGTCAACGCTTCTATCTGGCATTCCTGATAAACAACTTCATATCATTCATTCATTTTCTTTTCGGCTTAGCCCCTTTATTAATCCGGGGTCGCCACAGTGGAATGAACCGCTAACTTATCCAGCACGTTTTTACACAGCGGATGCCCTTCCAGCTGCAACCCATCTCTGGGAAACATCCACACAAACACTCATTCACACTCATACACTACGGACAATTTAGCCTACTCAATTCACCTGTACCCCATGTATTTGGACTGTGGGGCAAACCGGAGCACCCGGAGGAAACCCACATAAACACAGGGAGAACATGCAAACTCCACACAGAAACGCCAACTGACCCAGTCGAGGCTCGAATCAGCGACCTTCTTGCTGTGAGGCGACAGCACTACCTACTGCGTCACTGCCTTGCCTTCTTTTAATCAATGGCAAAATAAATTAACTTCAAAAGATCTGTAGCTCTTTCCCAGTAATGGGTTGCAGCTGGAAGGGTATCTGCTAGGTAAAACATATGCTGGATGAGTAGGCGGTTCATTTCGCTGTGGCGCCCCAGATCAATATAGAGGCTAAGCCGAAAAGAAAATGAATGAATGAATGAATGAGATCTGTAGCTCATAAACAATATAAAACTTTCATCCAGTAAAATCATAGCATATACAGTAGTAGCATAGAACATCACCTGATATATTTATATATAATATAATATAATATAATATAATATAATATAATATAATATAATATAATATAATATAATATATTTTATACACTATTTATATTTGATCAGCAGCTGATGTTGAATCTAACTCTCACTGCTTCTGTATCTCCTGTAGATGAAATGCTGTGGATTCAACAACTATACGGATTTCACAAACTCTTTTTTCGTGAACAGCACCAAGAATTATCCGGTGCAGTGCTGTAACACATCTCCATGTAATCAGGCGGCTGTTATGAATTCGGTGAGACATTAGTAATACATATTCATTTACAGTCTTGAAGAAATTCTAGAGGATTGGACACCTTTTCATCTTTATATTTGTGTGTGTTTTCCCCCAAGACTGTCACAGGTTGTTTTCCAGCACTGATAAAGCTGGTGGATAAAAATGCCGTTATCATCATAGCCGTAGCATTGGGCATCGCTGCGCTTGAGGTAAAGCACACGTTTCATTTCTATCAATGCTTTTCAAAGTGATTTTAAGACTGCAATTTACAATTTACTTGCAATTTAAGATTTAATCAAAATGCAAACGATGTAAATAAATAAATTGCATAAGTTAGCATCTACTTCCAACGATAAAATAATATTACAGAGGGAGATTTACATAGTCTCTTTTATAACTTGTTTTAATGACTTATTATTTAATGATTTATTGTATTTGGTTTGAGATATGAATAAATAAATAAAATGTAAATCTTATATATAATCTTATATATATATATATATATATATATATATAGTGTGTGCAAATATTTATTAATTTATTTCTATCTTAAACTATATGTAGTTTGGTTTGAGATTTAAATAAATAAGTAAATAAATAAATAAATAAATAGTATAATATAGTATAGTATGGTATAATGTATAGTGTGCAAATAGTCTTTATTTTCGAAAAAATTACAATTATATTAAAAAATTTATCAAATAATGTTGGTGAATGCATACATTATATATTTATACTTATATAAATACTTGTACTTATTAGTATTTATATAAGTATATTAACATGTTGTATTATTGTCACCAATTATTGTCACCAATAACATATATAAATCAAATGTTACATCTTATATTTAGTGTGCAAATGTTTATTTATTTATATCTCAAACTAAATGTAATCTGGTTTGAGAATTAAATAAATAAATAAATAAATAAATAAGTAAATAAATAAATAAATTGTATACTTGTATATGTTATAGATAATATTGGTTTTGATTACTTTTGCTGTTAAAAAACACTATGATAAATACCATGCTGTATTAATATCATCAATAAGTAAGTAAATAAATTAATTAATAAATTAAATGTTAAATAATATATATATAATTCTGACTTCAACTGTATATATACAGTGTATATATATATATATATATATATATATATATATATATATATATATATATATATATATATATATATATATATATAAAAGATTTAACATTTATTTATATTTTATATAGTGTGCGAATATTTATTTATTTATATCTCAAACTAAATGTTATCTGGTTTGAGATATAAATAAATATGTAGATAAATAAATAAAATATTAATCATGTATAGTGTGCAAATGTTTATTTATATCTCAAGCTACATGTAATATAGTGTGCAAATATTTTAAAGTATTCTAAATCTATAATTTCGAAAAAATAGAAATTATATAAAAATATGCAGCAAATACTGTTGGTGAACAGCTGATATATTTTATATTTATACTTGTATATATTATAGATAATAGCACTTTTGATTACTTTTGCTACTAAAAACACTGATAAATAACATGCTGTATTATTACATTAGGGCTGCGCAATATTAAAAAAATCTGACATTACCATATTTTGTTTTGCTGCGATATATGTATTGATATAAACATAATTTCAGCAGATGATTCGATTTTCTTATATTGGAAAGATTTAATTAATTCAGATCGACCGAGATGATCAAGACTTTTTCTATGCAGTGGATCTTTAAATTATAATCCATTACGAGCAAAAATAAATAAACAAACAGTGCTTTATGATTTTCTGGGAAGCCTAACAATATTCAAGTACATAAATTGAACAATCAAACGTACAGTTACATGGCCATCATTGTATAAATAAAAAAAAAAAAAAAAATTCAATAATGTCTTTATTATTAAATAAATTGTCATTGTAATCTTATCCTGCGATGTGACTATTGCAGATACACACATTGCAATATCGATGCTCAAACGATGTTACTCAGCCCTACTAGAAATATTTTCGAGCCAAAATTAAAGTTCGTAATTTAGCATTTTTAATTTAGATAAAAGTTTAAATACAAATAGAGGTCATGATCAATTTTGAAGATGCTCTTTGTAATAGCAAAGCATGCACTAAAATTACACACCTAATTAGTTTACTCCCATATAATTTTGACCTAAAGATATCTAATTCTAATCCTAATTATAAACAAGAACCCTTTTATGACGACACTTATGAATGGTTATTCACTTTTCTTTCTTTCTGTGTTGTGATTTTCAGCTTGCGGCGATGATCGTGTCCATGGTCCTGTACTGTAAAATAGGTTCAAAGGCTTAACGTGTCACTTTAATGGAAGTATCTGTCCAATGACCCCTCTTGATGATTGAGGATGAGGTGGAATATCGGTTGTAATGATTTCATTCTGGATAAGAATGACTGCTTAAAAGAATAGTTCACCCAAAAGGACCATTTCCTCATTATTTATTTAACATTCATGATTTTTGTTCTTCTGTTGAACATTAAGAAAAATATTCAGAATAATTTTGGGGGAAAAATAACATTGACATCAATTGTTGGGGCAAAAAAAAAATACTATGGAAGTCAATAGTTGTTTTGTTTTCAACATTATTCAGTATTTTTTCTGTTTTGTTCAACAGAATAAACTAAATTTGGGTAATCTATGCTTTTAATACCTTGAATGAAAACTAAAGTCAGACTGTCAATCTGAAAATCTTGACATTTTACAGTAGTAAAATTAGCTATTTTAATGATTAACATTTCATTGAGACTATGATTATTATTATTATTTTGTACTTTTTTACTTATATACTCTGTTTTATTATTTAAAAGCATAAAACCCAAGGCATTGCTTTGTAATTCTAAACACACTACTGTCATTATATGTGCAATGACCAAAATAGGCCAAATGTTTTCTAGCAAAATGTCGCTGTTGTAATTTATTGCAAACCTCTTACAAGCCAAAGGCATTTACACAACGTGACTTCTCATGTAATAAAGCACAATGTTTTATGTTTAAAATGTGATGTATAAAGTTTTTACCAAAAAAAACTGATTATTTTATGTTGCTAAAATGTTCATATAAAATGTTTATTTTGATGATAATTATAGATATAAAGGCAATTTCAACTTTGTGATGGTGTTGTCTTTTATACTCTTTAACTGTAAATCCACTAATGTAATGTAAATACTGTTGTTATTACAAAAATAAACTGACAAGGTGGTTTTTCTACCACGGTTTGTGTCCTGTGAGGACATTTTTACTCGGTTACAAAGTTATAACTGGAATTGAACTTACTTCAGAGGGTTGACAAAACATTCACCATCAGTGGTTACATCTGACGACACGATAACTACAAATATCCCTTCTAAAATTATACGAAAATGAATCACTTTATTATTATTAACTCACCTTTGTGTGGTTTTTTGACTCCTTTAAACGGATCATGTCTTATTTTGTAAATATCACCGCCCTCTGCTGGCGGCAAAACAGCTGTTCTTTTCGCGGGCTCCCCTGCTCTCTAGTGGAAGAAAGTGTTTATGACGTAAAATGGCTGACTGTCTCGTAGATTGAGGTGATGCCAAACGACACAGCGCATAAACAAGCTCGATAAAAGGTGTCATTTGTACTTATTTGCAACAAGAATTAAAATAGGAAATTGTTTTTATTCACAATTCAAAATAAAAGTAATTGAATATGATGTTAATGTTTACATCTTACAAGGAAATATTTTATTCCTAAACAGAAATTTAGGGAATGCATATTAACGTATGCTAATTTATTTTTATTGAAACGGAAGTCTTGAAAAAAGTTTCTAACATTAATAATTAAAAGAATCAATAGCTGTTAGACTTTACTGAGGACTTCATCAATCTCCCAGTTATCTTATTGTTTACATGTAAATGTGTTTATATTATTTTACGAATTTAGTCATTCTATCATCAATATAGTCATTTTGTTGTTTTATATATATTTTATTTATTTATTTTCCTTTAGCTTAGTCCCTTTATTTATCAGGGGTTGCCACAGCGGAATGAATCGCCAACTTATCCAGCAGTTTTCCACAGCGGATGCCCTTCCAGCTGCAACTTAGCACTGGGAAACACCCATTCACTCTTACATTCTCACACATACACTACGGCCAGTTTATTTTATTCAATTCACTTATAGCGCATGCCTTTGGACTGGGAAACTGGAGCACCCGTAGGAAACCCACACGAACAGGGGAAGTACATGCAAACGCCACACAGAAATGGCAACTGACCCAGCCGGGATTTGAACCAGGGACCTTTTTTCTGTGAAGAGACAGTGCTAACCACTGAGCCTACACTGATCTTGGGCCTACTGGTATATGTGCACTGTTGTGTGCAAGGTTTATATATTTTTAACCACCTCAGATGATGTTGGGGGTCACGAGTCACTGGCATTGTAATTTCGGGGGACGCAGGCTGAAAAGTTTGGGAACCCCTGCTCTAATGGGTTAGAGTAATCTACACCAGTGTTTCTCAACTGGTGGGTAGCAACCCAAAAGTGGGTCGCGGGAAAAGTGGGTCGTGTGGTCAAACAAACACAAAAGTAACATTTTTTACTTATTTTGCTTAAATTTTTTATTTATTTTGAAATGCGTGCGCGACAACCCTACCGTTTGGCATGTGAAACTACATTTACTTATTGGAACAAATATGTCGAAGCGCAAGTACAACCCTGAATATGTAAAGTATGGATATATATATTGACGACAAAAAAAGACTTAAAGCCTCTGTGTCATATGTTGTGAGGTGCTCTCATAAGAGAGCATGAAACCTTCTAAAGTAAAACAACATTTAGAAACCAGAAAACGTGTTTTATTAACAGTTTATTATTAACAGTATTTGTCGTTTTTACTTTGTAATATTTCTATAATTTGATCCATTTTGGAAAATTCAATTCAATTCAGCTTTATATGTATAGCGCTTTTACAATGTAGATTGTGTCAAAGCAGCTTCACATAAATGGTCATAGTAATTGGAACAGTGTAGTTCAGTTTTTAGTGTTTAAGTTCAGTTCAGTTCAGTTTAGCTCAGTTCAGTGTGATTTAATCATTACTGAGAGTTCAAACACTGAAGAGCAAATTCATCGATGTGTAGCTCTACCAATCCTGAACCGTGCGAGGCAGTGGCGACAGCGGAGAGGGAAAAAAAACTTCACCTGATGGGACTGAAGAAAAAAAAACCTTGAGAGAACTCAGTTGGGCACGACCATTTTAATTTCTCCGCTGGCCAAAAGTCTTGTGCAGAGCTTCAGTCACTGCGGTGGAGGCTGGAAGATGGCCTCAGCGAAGACTCGTCTGTCCCTGGAGCGTCACTGGAATCAGACTCATGTTCTCCACTCCCCACGACCATCAGCGCAGCAGCAGCTCAGGATATGGCCTGGTCCCGAATATGGAAACCTTGGGATCATCTCGTCGCTGGTCTTGGATCCAATCAGTGACTCCGCATAATCTGAGGACCTCGGTATGAGTATCCCCAGGTGAAAATAGAGAATAAAGAGAATAATTAGCGTAGCTGCTGTTCATAGTGTATATAAGCAAGATGCAGAAGCCTGTGTGGAACCCGCTAGGTGATGCATTGAGTGTATGCTTTACTAAACAGATAGGTCTTTAATCTAGTTTTGAACTGGGAGAGTGTGTCTGAGCCTCGGACGTTATCAGAAAGGCTATTCCAGAATGTAGGAGCCATAAAAGAGAAGGCTTGACCTCCTTTACTCGATTTTGCTATTCTAGGTACTACCAGAAGCCCTGAGTTTTGAGATCTTAAAGAGCGAGTTGGATTGTAGCGAGACAGAAGGTTGGTTAGATAAACAGGAGCTATATTATTTAGAGCTTTATAGGTGAGAAGTAATATTTTAAATTCAATACGAAACTTAACAGGCAGCCAGTGTAAGGAGGATAAAATTGGGGTGATATGATCATATTTTCTAGACCTGGTCAGAACTCTGGCTGCTGCAGTACTAATTGTAGTAGTTTGTACTAATTGTAATAGTTTGTACTAATTGAAGTTTGTTAATAGAGGATGCTGGGCAGCCAGTGAAAAGAGCATTACAGTAATCCAGCATCGAAGTCATAAAAGCATGGACTAGCTTTTCTGCATCTGAGATGGATAGCATATTTCGTAATTTAGCAATAAAACAGTGTTTATTTGTAAGTCTTGGTGAATTTCTTATGATGTATCTTGTTTATGTTAACAAATAAATACAAATTAAGTTTAATTCCTAAAATTGTATTATAGTTCCAAAAAATTTGGGTCGCGGCTTGATGACCATGTAAAAATGTGGGTCCCATAGCCGCCGCGCCATCTAGTGGCTGTTTACCAAATTGTACTAGAGTGTCGCCTCTTGGTGATTCTATGCTCGTTGGTCTATATCTGGCAACACTGCATCTTAAACTGACGTCATTGAAGAACCGTTACACCAAACGCAGAAGCAAGCAAATGCTCATCATACTTTAATTGAAGATTACCAAAACAAACTCTTTCAGTGGATAAACTTGCACGCATGAATTGTTCACTCAAAGAATAACAACGTGCGCGATCAAAACAGACATTTCTGTTTTATTTCACACGGACTTTAACTCACCCCTCCACAAGATGGCGGTCCTAACTTCAGTTCCTTCGTGTTTACAATCCTGCTATTAAACTCTCAGTAGTGAGCACCAAGGAGGAGTCAGAACTCAGCGTTCTCGCATCTCACACCCACTTCTGCCAAATCGAGCAGTAGATTGAGTCCAACTCTGACCCACATTCACTGCCAGCTCGAGTTTTTACACCTTCATCCTCAATGCGGAGTCCTGACGCTGAGTTTCCACCTGAGACCTGAAGGAAAAACTCTTCACGAGGAGCCTGAGCTCTTCAAACAGGTGTCTGTGAGTGGCCACAAGGCCCCAAAACAGGACGAAAACACGAGCAAATCCACCATGTCCACTGGGAAAAATGCACCTGTTACAGAAAAGTGAGTATGGACGTGTTGGTTTGTGTCTGTTGATGTCAAAACTCTGCATCATTGCTGTGCATTTCGAGTTCCTGCTCTGTGGTTCTTCAAGTCTCTAAATGGCTGATTCAGTATATCTGTTTTAGCTTTGGCAGTTTTTCTTCATGTCAAATTTTCACATCTCTTCCTTCCTCGTTTTGCAATAGATTCTGGTTTGAGTTCAGCTCATGTTTTACAAGTAGATAATGTAATGCTGGGACTGAATGTGAAGGCTCTGTGGATGATTTACACGCAAGTTGCTGAAGTGGAATCATTCACATTGTGACATATTTTTCATTTTCTTATCCAAAGGCGCTGGCTGTGTGTGTGTTTGTGTGTGTGTGTACTCTGAGCAAACATCAAACACCTTGACTGTATTCTGCTGTGAATGTGTATTTGTGCATGAGTCATTGAGGGTTAAGAGAGTTTTAAAGGTTTAAGATACCTTTAATGACTTGTAAAGTCATACACTTGCTTTATTCCTCTTGTTTTCTCACATATTAGGGTCAATTTGGTTTTATATTCGCACGTTCAGACTTTCGCCTACTTAATATAATTTCAGAAAAGTATTATTTGCAAATTCTAAATAGGGAAATTATATTAGCAGCCAATGTCTAGCAAAGTACAACATTGTTCACAGTCAATTATAATAGTGCTAATGATGTTTTGAAGTCATGCTTGCATGCGTATACAGATTTAAATTATCGCATCAGAAATTGTTTAAAATTGTTTAAAAATGTCACTGTTTAAAAATGAACAAATATGTGAATCTAAAATCAAGTTTATCTCAATTTCTTGCGTTTATAACATATGCCTCTCTTTCAGTGGTGCATGTTAAAGGGGTAGTTCACTCAAAAAAAAAATAACATTTACATTTTATTTTCTCACCCTCAGGTCATTAAAAGATGTAGGTGTATTATTTTCTTCAGTAGAGCCTTAAAATAGACGTTTAGCTCAATCCGTGGTCCTTGGTGATTTGTATAATTTGCATAAAGTCAGTGGTTTCCCCCCTTTTTAGCCTAATATGGCCCGTTTCAACTGAGTGGTACAGTACGAGTCGCCTTTATCAGGCTTGGGCTTCCATATAGCCCAAAGTCAGTGCAAATGTCTCATCTGTATATTTAATCTTCA